ATTATTTTTATGGATCTCCAACAGTTGTACATATTAAATTACTTCTAACACATGCTGTAAATTACTATGTACTACCACTTATAGGTATAGGTTCTAAAACAATAGCAGTGTTTATAATTTGCCTATTTTAATGGTAGTTGGAACAAAAATAAGTTTAACGAACAAAAGATAGTTAATAGATTTTTTAACATAAATAAAAGTTAAGTTTAGCATAAAGTTAGTGAATAATTAATTTAATAAACAGTCGTGTCATTTTTTCATAAAAAGTGTGAACCCGTCACAACCGTTACCCGACATTATTTCCTCAAAAAAATTAAAAATTTGAAAATCCCTTTTCATTTAATTTCTCGTAAATTATCGTTATATTTCTAACTTTGATGTTTTTCCACAAGCTTGCTGCAGTTTTCTATAGGTATTTTCTAGAGATATTATAATTATCAGGCTTGCATAGTAACTGTTGCATAAAGTCTGTTGCATACAATACGTTACAGCTTGCGTCATCATCATAATCATTACAGCCCTTCACAAGTCCACTGCTAAACATAGGCCTATCCACCTGCATTCCGCCTTGCGTAAGTGCTACTAATATGCATAAAATATTTCATCATATTTTAAACAAAAAGTACATCATAAACATTTTTCTAACTAAAAGTGCAAGTTGGCTGAATGGTACTCGCGTTGATCCATGCGCAAGTGCGACTTGTATGACCCTTTCTAGACATTGCCAACACTGCTCTATTCAATCTAAAATGTTCGTCACTGCGTTTTCAGACTAGGCGCGATAAGTTAATCATTCATTCATAATTCATAATTGTTCGCCAAAGAAACCAAACGGTTGTGCAAGTAAAAACAGCAATAGGTCCAAGTGGATCACTACGTTTAAATGCTGGCGTATGTTCGAATGATTAGTACTTGTACAAGCTACTGCGCATCGTGTACGACAAGCATAAGATAGCTGCATGATGCGGAGTGAGCAAATTTTTAGGAAATAATATATTCATAGGAGTCGCCGATATTCGTTAATTATTAAATTAGGTTATCAAATTACATTTAAAAAAATGTATTAAACAGTTCACACACGGTATAATAAACGTTTCAAGGTAATTCACTCCTAATAAAGTACATAATAAGAGAACTTGCAATTTTGCGTACGACGCATCAACATTTCGTCGCGCTCTATAATTAACGTTCGTGTTCCCGAAAATTGTGTATTTTGATTTTTCATCTAAACATCTCCGGTCAGTAGCCGCATCATATTTGTTATAGACTGACGTGGTACAGGACTCGATTCGCGCGCTCGACGTTTTAACGGTGCTTTTTTTTTAATTTACTTTACTATGCAGTTACAACGTTTGTTTTGCGAAATAATTTCCCTCTGTATACAATGCTCTATTGTTTAATTAAAATTAATTGAATCACATCAGCGTTAAATAGATTAGTGTTACGTTTTAAATTTTGTGTGACAATAGAACAGAAAGCGCTTTTGAAGTGTACTGGCCCATGTCATTTACTCGCAAAAGTTTTACATCAAGCGTTTTAAGATCTCGCATGATACCTATTTTTAATGTATAAAATTGAATGCGAATTTTTTAGTAAAGTAAATTCTTTCAATTTTGATTTCATACGATCCTTGGTTAGTTGTGGCAGTTTAACCAATATGTAAAATATGTATACATGTATTTTTTTGTTGGCGGTAGAGACCATAAAATACTTTTACTTATTCTTGCCAAATATAATCAATGGTCTCAATGGTGCCAACAATGTGGACTTGAATTTGTAACTTTCGTAACATTTGCAACTTATTTTTATATTTCCGCATTCTTATCTGTTTCGCATTTTAAAAGACTAGGTCTGGCAGGCGCCCAAATAGTGCTAGAACTTGCGTCATGTTACTTGTCACTTAATTTTTATTGATATTTATTTAAGTATGAGTATTTAAGACCTCATAACATTGCGTCACCAATAAAAGTTACTAATCACGTTCAATAATTATTGCCTCACTTAGAATCGCTTTATGGGCCAGTATGTTTTTAAAATTTATATTATATCAGAAACAGCATAAAAAGGTTATTGTTAAAATAATAATATTGTGAGAGCGGATATTGAACTTGCTCTCTTGCTTGCGCAAATAATCATTATATGCATTAAACATCGGGCCGTATTATACAATCACAATAGAGCAGTTACAGTTCGACCATTCCGTGACAAACCCGGTCGTAATCACACATTAGTGTAACGTGATGGACGTAATTACACGATAACGCCAACATAGGTTATATATGCAAACCAACAACAACACTGATTAACGCTCGTATAATGACTGCCACGGAATCTCCCGGCGCGTTGCTTGTACTAATGAAACACCGGTTTGTAGATCTACCCTCACTTCTATTTGTCTCATTTTTTTTTTTCTAATCTCTGTCTCTGACTTTTATAAAAATGAGGTCTTGTAATATTTCACTTTAATTAACTAAGAGCCCCAACCTGTACGCAATTAAAACATGGAAGTACTATTATAGGAGGATTAAATGCGTAACATAGCATAATATTTCAAATAAACTCACACTTTCAAACTCCGTCGCTATAGTGACTGCAGCTTACGACTGTACACAAAATAAATAATATAATATATTTAAAAATATGTGATGCTGTAATCCATTAGTTTTTATAAGTGAAAAGGAAAGTTTTATTTTGCTTTCTATTGGAATTTGTGTTCTTTAAAATTGGAACTAATAGATCACAAAAATACTAAAGGCATGAGCGGTTTGCTCATCCTTGGTCTAGTATAGACACTGGATGTTAATCATCGTGAATTGTTAGCATTAACAAAAGTCCGCAATATTTACGCCAATATGACACTTATTGTGCTTGTTATAATAATTTTCCTTATAAAGATCATAATTTAAACATATAACGAAAGTTTGTGCTTGCCAGAATACTTAATTATATGTCAGTCTTAAAAATCATAACATCCCATGATATAAAAACTTTTTACTAAAGTAAATTTATTCAGCTATGAAAAATATCTAGAGCTACCTTTGTTATTTTTTATCCCAGAAACCTTACATTTTAGGTTTACACCCTCTATTTAATGTCATACGATACTAACTTCCGTATATGTTTTAATACAAATTTACTCACAGTAAATCCAATTAAAACCTAATATATTTACATTCTAAATAATATACGAGTAACTAACTCTCTACTAAATAACGATTTAGTTTCAAGTCAATGACACCCTCATTATCTCAATGGAGTAGGATGACTTTTAATATTAGACAGCTTTAGAAAATAAATAATTACTATAACGGATCCCACCTTCCAGAGAGACGTATCTGTATTTATACGACGTAGATCATTGTGACTCAGCTTGATTCTATATTTATTAACATCGTCTACAGCTTCTTTGCTTCCCTTAACAACATTCAAGTCGGTTCCATACACAGTTTTCACATCATTCGTAATGGTTTAAGCGGATTTTCCTTGCTTGGTTATATCGTTCTCAGGTGGTACCAAAAAATCGGAGGTAGTTTCTAATTACAAACGGCGGACAGGTGAATATTATACTATTTATTTATATCAATAACATATGATATCACATCATAATCTTTGAATGTTACATTAATTTAAATTTGAAATTCATGTCGAATGCGAGATGAAACTTTAAAGTAATTATATGCTTTGTATTAACTTGACATGTGTGTATTTATGTATGTATGAAAGTAATGGAATATTGTAAGTCAGTTTTCACCCTGTAAATCAAAATTTTGCAGATGTATTAAGAACCGATAACATGATCGAAGCTTGGTGTTTAAAGTTTTCTTAAATTCTAATATAAAATAATTATAGATCAGGACCTAGAATTTTAACGAATCCTCTAGTAGTAAATGTTGCTTATACTCTTGCCCGATCTACTTTAAGACTAATGACAGGCCTGTTGGTCTAGTGGTTAGTGACCCTGACTGCTATGCCGGAGGTCGTGGGTTCGATTCCCACCCAGGACAAATGTTTGTGTGATGAGCACGATCATTTGTTCTGTGTCTGGGTGTAATTTATGTATAATATTTATGTATTTAGAAATATATAAGTATGTTTATCAGTTGTCTAGTACCCATAACACAAGCTCTGCTTAGCTTGGGACTAGATGGAGTTGTGTGATAGTTGTGGAATATTATTATTATTATTATTGTTAATGAGCTATTATTTTCATAATTCTCTGTTATGACTACTTAAAATAAAATGTCTCCTTAATCCCTCCCTATACCTATCGCAGATACGACCGCGTGGACAGAAATAAACAAAGCATACAACATATGCTGCATTTCTCGCAATGTGCATCCAATGGTTCTTTTTTCAGCTTCTAATTCGGGACGTGGGCACGCGCCAGTCTCAGCGTGTTCAGCACATCGTGCGCTCTCGAGCATTTGAAAATTGAAATGACTCATAACTTTTTTGTTTAATTTATTCAGTGACAGTAATTTTTATCGGTAAATATAGTAAAAGCAGTAAAGAGGTTTTACAAAACCTCTTTACTGCGTTGTATTGTTGATTGAACCCAGTTTTGTTTATGTGATAATACAATAATTTGTTTGCGTGTTTAATTAATTACGTGTTAAATACTTTTGTTTGAAATTTGCTTCCATGGTCGTGTTCCATATATTCGTAATTTAAGTTAAAAATCTTAATATAATTGTAATTTAATATTGAAATGATGCTTTTAATAGAGCCCTACCATAGAGTCCTGTACCGTCCAGAGACATTGTGTTCCAAATATAAAACGCGGAACTATACGGTGTTTAAATAAACTAAAAATTTGAGTGCGGTGAATTAATAACAGTAAAAATAACGGTGATAATTAGAAGTATTTATTAAAACAATGTTTCTACCCGTTAATGTGAATATATACCTATACAGTGGAAATCTAGATAGACTATAAAAAAGTGTTTCGTAACTTTTTATGTATATGCTTTGTGGTAGTATAAAATCTAAATAAAATCAAAATGGCGAAAAAGAAGAAACATAACGGCAAAAAGAGCGGCAATAGATTTTTTCGCTGGATGAGAAGGTATGAAATTTAATTTACAGTTTAAAATAAAATGTTTTCTAACTAACACAAATGTTTTGATTCGGGTACTTATCTACATTCCTGTATATATTTCTATTATGCATGTGGTGTTGAAATAACGCGCGAGTCTAAGGCTTGAGTGGGTATGTATGGTGGCACTAATAACAAATTTAGCGGGCGCGCACAGGCCACTATAGAGCATATTGAGAACGCGCGCGCGCGCGCGTGCGTGCGTGCGTGCGTGCGTGCGTGCGTGTGTGCGTGTGTGTGTATGTGAGTGTGTGTGTGTGTGTGTGTATGCCTTGTTGCGTGCACGCTCATAACTTAGTTCTATTCTACACTCACTTCTATCTAAGTTAAACGCTAAGGGGCAACATCATATCGAAGTTAAATTAAAATTAAAAAATAAGGCCAGATGAAAATTTGAGCAACAAAGACTTTAATATTCGCATTATGATTTAAAAAAAGTATATTTTACGGTTAAAATTCGAATCACTTGTCTTCCGATTATACTTCGCCGGAATTTCGATAGAATTTATTTTTTAAATATAGGATTTAATTTATTTATTAAATTCAGAATTTTTATTTTTATTTATTGTAGAATAACAGTGCCATAGGCTTCTACTCCGTTCACATGATACACCCTATTTTTTTCCAGACTGTAAAAAAGGTCATCCTTATTAAGCTACTATTTCACGTTGGTATTTTGTAAGAACGTGGTCCTTCCCCGGTCGAGCCAACCCATTCGTGCTACAAAGATAATATAGCTGCAGCGTGGCTACAACCTATAACAAAATGTCATATTATGTTGTCATCGCTAGGTTATTGGCTTGTTTTCAACGCGTAATATAATTAGTGTATAGTGTATAAAACTCATGGATTTTTTCGAAACGGTCAAGCTGCTTAAAGCAAACACGCAGATTTTTGAGTAAGGCATGTTTAGTCATCGACAATGTTTGTTTGATGTTTGGATCACCGACTTACTTGCCTAGTGCTAGTTGTTATATTATCATCATAATCATAATCTTTATTGCAATCAAATTGTAACAATAGATGTGACGTTTTAAAAGTAGTCCGCATTTGAACCCATATAATATGATATGAATATGTGTTACCATCTCTTTGTGTTGCCTGGTAGAGAATGCCTTCAAAATAACCTTATATATCATGTTCGCCATCTTGTTACAATGTATCTACAATAACATTGGGCTTTAATGATTTCTTATATTTACGCGAACATTGCACATGATTAAAACTACTTTTACGGATTTTATCGCGTTTATTTTTACTTTTTATTTTTAATTCCCGACGTTTCGGGCGCTTTCCAGCACCCATGGTCACATTTTGCATAGATCGGACCATAAACAATAATTAAAAAAGCTGAAGGTACTCCGGGTTTAACAATGACATCGGGACGTCAGTCATCTCAGTCCCCCGTGACCATGGGTGCTGGAAAGCGCCCGAAACGTCGGGAATTAAAAATAAAAAGTAAAAATAAACGCGATAAAATCCGTAAAAGTAGTTTTAATCATGAACATTGGGCTTTATTTTTCAATAAAAAAGTTATTATTATATTTAACATCATAATAACAGTGACCTGAGTCAATATTTTTGTTATAAAAAAGGGTAAAGAACAGTGAAAACGATTTTCCGCTATTAGTTTAGTTTATTTAAGAATTTTATTTTATTATTTCAATTTAAATGAAACATATAATTTATTGTATTGGTGATTACTGATTAATAACGAATAAATTAATACTCTAGCTAGGGTTGCCAACTTTTTTCATTTCAAATTTAGAAGTTGAATAAAACTACGTAGTGTTCGCATAAATATAAGAAATCAAATTTAGTATCTTCAAGGCTATATAATATACCTTTAAAAATATAGAAGACTGCAAAAATTGAAGATACGTTAGTATTTTTTTTATAGGATAGGTGACAAACGAGTACACAGTCCACCTGATGGTAAGTGGTTGCTGTGGCCCATAGACACCTTAGTCTTACATGTATCCTCGATTACGAATCAAAATGCTGATGCGTTGTCATCCGTGAGGACTAAGATGTAATGCCTCATTTCAAGTAAAAAGGGTCTCCGGTTCTCTACACTCACCATACGAAACACAGCAGCATTAAGCTACCATTTTACGCTGGTATTCTGCGAGAGCGTGGTATTTCCCCGGTCGAGCCGACCCATTTATGCTACAACTATACGACTAATATAACTGCAGCATGGCTCTACCACGTACAAAAATATATGTTCCAATAGATGTGGTTATGACCTGGTAAGACATGTAGAAAGTCGACCGTATTTTGTAACAAGCCTTAAGAAGAGACTTATGTATGTCATCAGCATTGGATTTTTAAAATGTATTATTTGTTTATAATTTATTTTTATTTTTGCTGCTTCGTGTCATGACTAACAACTATATAATCTAGACGTCAGGAAATTAAATTAGAACTATATGGAAAGAGAATAGTTGAGACAGACAAAATGCGATACTTGGGTATTTGGTTGGATCGGTCATTAAGATGGTTTAAACACATTAATGAAATTAGCCAAAAGATATTAAAATTTGTAAATATACATAAATACATACATAAACACTCACGCCTGTCACCCAGAGGGGTAGGCAGAGACTACAGACTTCCATTTGGCACGATCCTGACACACCTCTCTCGTCTCCTCTACATTCATATACCTACGCATACATGCTCGTCGGTTAAGAATACTCCTAATTTGGCCCGTTTTCAATAAATCACCAATTTGCGGGAAATAGAGTAAATGGGGCTCTGCACTCTATTGTGAAGAGTCAAAATGTGTCGAAAAAGGCACGTATGGCAATTCACAATGCTGTGTTGGTCCCTACTTTAACGTATGGTAGTGAAAGTTGGGTGTGGCAGAAGAAGCACGAGAGTAGAATGAACGCAGTAGAAATGTGGTCGTTAAGGAGTATGTTAGGGCTGAATCTGAATGACAGGGTAAGAAACTGTGTAATAAGAGAAGAGTGTGGTTTGCAAGATGATGTTGTGACCAGGATTAAGAAAGGAATGCTTCGGTGGTTTGGTCATGTGGAAAGAATGAATGAGGAAAGAATGACAAAGAAAATTTATGTTGCAGAAGTGTATGGCAGAGTTGGAAAGGGACGTCCTAGGCGAAAATTTATCGACCAAATTGGCGATATTAAAAGTATTAACAGGGCATGGTTGGGGTATCCATCCGCAGCATTTACGTAGGTCATACTTATCACTTATAAGAAGCACAATTGATTTCGGCTGTTTTTTATATATGAGTGCTAATAGAAACATCTGTAAATTAGATAAAATCCAAAATCAAGTACTTCGTATTATAGGAGGTTTTATCAAAAGTACACCATTACACGTTATGGAAACTGAATTAAATATAACGCCTCTTTATATTAGAAGAAAATTTTTAGCATATAAATATTGTCTGAAAGGTAAATCTAGAACTAATATTACTATTAAACTATTAACAGAACTCAGCTTATTCTGTCAAGACAGGTACTGGCAAAATAAAAGGAAACCACTTCTAGCAATTACATTAGAACAAGTTCATAATAATAGTGTGTAATCTTCGGATCCACTAGATATGTTTATCTCTTTAAATATTTGGGTATCAAGTGTCAATGTTAAAAACGTAATTAAACAGGACTTAAATTGTATCAAGGGTGCTAAAAGATGTCAGGAGATAAATACGTTAAAGTCGAATGTAATAAATGAATTGAATGTTAATTATTTCGGATGGCACAAAATTTTCTGTGATGGATTCAAAGATAAATATGGTGTAGGTGTCGCTTATTTCGGCTCATTGCTGGGTAATAAATGGAAAATTAAAATTCCTAATAATTTTACGATAATGTCAGCTGAATTAATTGCTATAAATGATGCCGTATTACATGCTGGTACAACAAAGTTTCAAAAAACAGTTTTTTCAAGTTGTCAAATTTTCAAAATTCTAACTGATAGCAAGAGTGTTCTTGAACATATTTCTCGGTGCGTCTCTGGTCTCAAAGGTGTAACGATAGCATATTCGATATTAAATGAAATATTGAAACTTCAATGTAAAAACCGTGAATTAGTATTGCAGTGGGTACCGTCTCACATCGGTTTACATGGCAATGAGGGGGCTGATAAACTGGCGAAATTGGCAATCACCCAAGGAAGAGAATGTAATATTTATTAAAATGTAAATGTACTGATTATTCAGAAATTTTAATTAAATATAAAGAGAAATGTTATACACTGTGGAAAGAATATTTTAATAAAAGATCGCAAGGAAAAGGAATTTGGTACAAAACCATCCAGAGTCAGCCTCCGAAAGTTGCTCGCGGAATGTTCCAAAAATCATCATGAAAGGAAACTATTAGTTGCCAAAACTGATATTAAAATATGTAACCTAGGGGAATATCAAAGTATTCTGTCTGAACTATTGTCTAATGCTGCTCAAATGGTATATAATGTAGTTAATATTTTGTGTAAATAATTTAAGAAATTGTAGTGTGTTATTTAGTTATAAGGTACAATGGGACTGACATGTTAAAATAACGTAAGTCCCTAAATAAGTAAAAAAGAATTAAAAAAACTATATTATCAAACTAGGGAAGTCATCGTATTCATATTTTTTTTAAATATAATCTACATATTTTTATTATCTATCTTTATTTAAAAAGGCTTTTATCTTAAAAGGATTATTTGGATTTCTAATATAGTTCTCATAAAATACTATATTATATAGTAAGGTTGGCTACCCTAGCTTAAACTTGAAATTATTAGAAATTCAACCTTATGAAAAATCAACATTTTATAAAATCAACTTTATGCGAAACGGAGAAACTCAACAATTTGGGAAGTTAACGAACCGGTCTTAAAACGTTCATATCAACTTTATTTTATTTATTCATGATATCTCAAACGAAATCATTTTGTTTAGGGTATCAGAAAGCTAGTTAAAAATGCTTTTACTCCAGACCACTAAGACGAAA